CACTCTGCAACAGTTTACCTTGAAGTAAAGTTTAATATGACACAAAGATATAGGGATGGTGTCATGTAGCTTTGTGCATCTTTGCTGTGTAATGACCCCTTGTTTCTTCCTTTTTGGTGCTTCAAGCCATCCCTATATCCCCCTTTCATTTTGAAGAAATGATTTTTCCACTTGTAGAAATGCTCTGCCCTGTGTCAGGGTTCTGGATGGATTGGTCAGCCAAAGGACTTCCTGCGAGGGATGGCTCTCTACCTGTCCCACGTGAGACAGACGTCTCCAGAGAGACTGGCCGAGGGAGACTCCTTTGTTGGAAATGTCCTCGTGGTGAGTTGAAACTTTATGCTGCTTCTTTCTGTGTATATAATATGAGTTTGTACAAATGCATGCAAGAAAGAATGCAACACATTTAAAATTGGTGAGAAAATGCAAGTGAGTTATAGAGTGCGAACCATTGAACTGCTGTACTTGACATTGCGTAATTATGCACAACAGCTGTAGACTGTATGTGTTCGGGTGTCCATTGTACTATTAAGTGTACTCTGACCAGAGTAAACGTGTGTTTTTAGCTAAGTTTATATGCAGCGCTTGTCGGTGGCCCCTGGAGGAGGTAAGCCTTGCCTAGCACCAATCTGTAAGCGACAGGACAGTGCTACTCAGTTGACTTGGTGGATCAGCTGATTAGTGCCATTCAACGTGACCAGATGACTACAGTAGATAGATATGCATGCAGTGTTCGCCAATGAAGAATAGCGTGTCACAAAAGTTTCAGAACATCATCCCTGGGCCAAACATGCTATATTAATGAAAATATGTGTTATAAACTAGAGTAGACAGTGTACATGTAATAGTAGCTATGGTAGTAAATAATAACAGGGTTCTTGTATAGGATTCACACTACTTTGTATATTGTGTGATGCAGAATTACTAGATCACACTCTGTGGTGCTCTTGTTTCTCTGTTGGCCACAGGATCCATCAGCTAAGATTGGTCAGGGCTGCAGGATCGGTCCCAGTGTCGTCATTGGACCCAACGTCATCATTGAAGATGGTACTATTTCATTCACACGAGTTCTCTCTGTTGTAGAATCAGGTGTGGAATGTACGAATCACCCTGCAGCGAGTTAGAAAGTATTATGTGGTTGGAAGCAAGCAGAGCATGTTCAGAATACTTCCCTTACTTCTTGAACAGTCTGTAGGTGTGCTCTGCCATTGACAGTGACTATAGGTCTTACATTAGGTCCGGGGACTAATTGTCAGTTTCTCACCATACTAGCAACACATTTTTGGTTACCGAAGTGAGCAGTTTTTTTCGTGGTTACATGAATCTATTACAGTATGTGGCAACTCCCGTTATAGAAACAATTCCTGTTCAGACAGCTATGTGGACTCGATTTGATTTCTAATTAATTAGACTATGTCTATAATAGTCTAGTAAATCAATGCCTATGACAAGTTCACTAATAGCTTGCCTTCGGATATTAATTTTGGTAAAGTACATAATAATCAGGTTTTGCAGGCTGTGTTAATACTACCTTGCTCATTATCAATTTACCTGCACTACGCATTTTTTCATTAATGTTGACAGGTGTTTGTCTATCATCATCCACTGTCCTGAGGGGTGCACGTATTTGCTCTCATGCCTGGGTCCAGTCCAGTATAATAGGGTGGCAATCAATTGTGGGGAAGTGGGTAAGACCCTAGCTAATTACCGTAATTTGCCTACTGTCATTTAGGAGTTATGATTGTGTGCTTTACAGTGGAACCTCAGAACAAGGGACACTATGAGGCCAATGGTTTTTTCCCTTGTAGAGAGTTCATCCCAATCATGGAGGTCAAATTATTCTCATTAATTACACGCTAAAGTATTACCGTGGTTTGAACATAAGTGTCCTTTGTAGACAGGTCGTCCCTATCTCCGGAGGTCAAATAATACACTACAGTATTATAAGCATGGGGTTGAAAATGTCTTTTGTACAGAGATCATCCCAGTCTCGGAGGGTCCCTATAGGATGTTCCACTGTTCTGTTCTGTAGGTGAGGATGGAGAGTGTGTCAGTACTGGGAGAAGATGTCATCATTCAGGATGAACTGTATGTCAATGGAGCTCGCATCTTGCCTCACAAGAACATCACTGTCTCCAGCCCTGACCCTCAAATTATCATGTAGATTATATTTTTTCAACATAATATAGTACAAATTCAATGATTGATGTTAATTACCCATGCTATGCATCACTGTGTATAGCACTAAAGTGCAAACCTTCGGCGAACTGCGCATGCGTGGTACCGCTAGTACGTTTACTCGCGGTCTCCTGCTAGTAGCCCGCGGAGAGTCTGACACGGGCTAGCTACAGTAGCAGATATATAGCATGCGGGAGTCGATACACGCCCTTCGCTGTGGCTTCTTGTGCCTCCAAGGTACACAGAGTAAGCGGATCAGTCGAGGTGAGGCACCAATAGAGCTGCGTTGACGCGTCTAATACACGCATGCGCACCGTTTATTGATGCGTTGGGCCACGCAACGACCGTGCCAGTTTGTCGCTCTCGAACGCAGTCGTTTCACCAAAATCGCCATTTTTTTCTCTAGCCCATGTACCGCTAAAGCTGTTGGTATCGCTCATAAGCCGCCTCGTAGCCTATTAGTGAGATCAAGACACAGAACACGGACTACCGTAACCTCGCTGCGCATGCGCGGCGAGGGTAATGACGGCTGGTCACACAATCTCAATGGTAACTCAGAGAATGGAAAACAGTGCAGGCTGCTTGTCAATCTCTCACAATAATAGTTGTGATTTGTAGATGTTGATTGACAAAATACACACAACAAATTATATTTTTAAAAGTGTTGATAACAGCATAATAATGCACCCCTAAATTAGTATTGTAAAAAGCGGAAAAATGGTAAGGACACAT